GCGCCGGGCGGGGGAGGAGCGGGCCCGAGCGCTTGGGGCCTAGCACGGCCCGTGGGAGACCTGGGTGGCGCGCGACCCGCTGTCCCGCCCGGGCCGGGATGGCACGGCTGGGGGCGGGGGAAGGGGGGCGAGACACCGGCTGGGGCCCTGGGCCTGGCGGCCCCTGGGGGTCACGAGGCTGGCGGGATCCGCCGCCTGCAGAGATAGGCTCCCTCCGGTCCCCGCGCGAGGGGGCATGACGGGGCGAAAGCGCCCGGGCCTTCCCGCCCCGCGTGCGGAGGGTCGCGGGACCGGGCGGCCGGAGCGGCTTGGGGAAGGGGCCTGGGCAAGCCCAGCCCCACCCCGAGGCTTTAACCCCTCTCTGCCGGAAGGGGAAGCCCCGGCGCTGTTGAGGGGGAGGGGAGGTGTCCCCTGGGGGTAGTGGCATCAGCTGAGGCCCTTGGCACCAGCCCAGACTCCTCCTCTCCAGGAACCCGCGGCGTCTTAGCTGGGGGTCCGGGGAGGATGGCATCGGAAAGGGAGTTTGGAGTCTCCGTCTGGCTCAGAAGTTGCAGCAGGAGGTGCCCCAACCAGAGGATGAGTTGGAGGGGCGCTGCCCACTCTAGGGACACGGGAGAGAGTGGCTCTGAGGGCTTTGGGCAGTCGAGACGGAGATGGGCAATTGTAAGTCTTTCACTGCCAGGGAGTGGTGGGGAAGGAGTTAAAATCTGTCTTACAAAAAGGGAAGATGGGCTCCAATGGGTGTGTGAGCTGAGGCTGCGGTAATGGCTGCGGCCTGCGTTAAAGAGCTTGGCTGGACTGGGAGTGTGGGGCTGAGGGAGGCTTGGGGCAGGTGCTGGGGTTGGCCCCCCCCCCCCCCCCCGCCGGTCCCAGTACCCATACTGGGGTTTCTGAGAATTGTGTGGCCAAAAATGCCGATGATGTGGGTTAGCAAAGAAGTATGGCCGGTCAGCCCAGGTACTTCTCTGTGTTGTGGCCCATCCCGGAAGAAGAGGGCCCCCCTGATGGATCTCAGCATCCCAGAAGGAGCATGGCCTGAGGCAGAAGGGCAGAGGGAAGGCTGGAGGCTGGAGCTGCGGGTACCCCACGGTCACATATTTAGGCACTGGCTTCCTTTTCCGAACATGTTTTGCAGAGGACTCCTGCCCCTTTCTCCACCCAGTGGTTCCTAGTTCCTCATCCGACAGGCCAGGACCTTCAGGCCCCTGCTGGGTTTTTTGGCATGATAGTCTCCTAGCCAACATTTGCCCCTGGGCTCCTGTCTGAGAGTTTGGCCCCTAGTTAGATTTGGCATTGACTTGGGCTCTTGGGCCCCCTTGGGCAGGAACATAACACCTGGACTCTGATCCTGCAGGCCTGGGTGGCTTGGCTTCTAGGCATTTAGATCTGGGAGACGTCTCCAGGGTAAGGCCAAGAGGAGGACCAAGTTGTTGCCGCTCTAACAGCTCACCCTAGGTGTCACCTCCAGTCCCCAGGGAAGCCACGTGCCTGGGCAGAGATGCACAGGTACCCAGGTGGGTTCCAGTTCCTCGTCAGGAGGGCCTCCTCTAGACCTGCATCATATCCAAAACGGGATCAGACCCAGGAACAGAACCCAAGAGTCACATATTACACTGCCAGGTCAGAGTTTGGGTGATGTACAGCTCTTAGCCCGTGCATTCCGCCGTTCGCTACTCAACTTGCCACTTCGGCTCACCCGAAGGGCTCACCATCCTAAAAGTGGCAGCAAAATTTCCCTTTAAAGAGGCCTTCCAAGAAAAATCACCCCTTGTGGACTTCCGCGGGAGTTTTAGGATCAGGGAAACTGGTGTTCTCCAATCCTCCAGGGCTCCCGCACTGGCATTTCTGCCCACCTTGTGTATAACCACAGTAGAGTGTCTTTCAGAAAGAAATGAAGAATCGGGACCCCTGGCCTTTGTTCCCATGCCCACCGCTGACTTTCTGAATCACCTTTGCCCGCTCATTTGTCATCTGTTGGTCTCAGCTTTTTTCCCATTTGGCTTTTTCTACTCCCCCTATGAGGTCTGACTGTAAATAGAAGTTGAGTTTATGTGTCTAGCTACTCAGCAGGCTAATGTGAACTGGAAAAAAAAAAAAATTATACAGAGACTTCACAGTCCTTCTAAGGACCTAGAAGTGTTCTGTTGAGTTCCTCTCAAAAAGTTGTGATGTAGAAAGTAGGAGATGTTTTGCCTGAGGGAAAAAAAGAGAGCCATTTTCAAATATGTAAAAGTGTAAAAGACTGTCCTATGGAAGAACTACTCTTGGGGTACCCAAGTCTTTGGAACAAGGGATGGAAGTTATAGGAAGATGGATTTTTGACTCATTATACAGAATTTTCAGACAGTTGGAGCCCACCCAAGAGGGAATGAGCCAGGAGGTATTCAAGTCTGAGACAAAAGGTTACTTCCAGCCATTAAGTGAAGAGCTTGTGAGATCAGGAGGCATTAGCAGGGAAATGAAGTCATAACCTGGTTCCAGCTTAGCTTTGATTCACAGCTGAACTGGCTATTTGGGTACCGGGGAGCCTGGTTTCCCGAACGTTTTCCTAGCCCCAAATCCCGTTCTGCCAGGCCAGGCTTTTTCATGTATATGGGAGCCTGTGAATCTTCTACTTGCCAGAGATGCCAGATGGCTCTTCATGCGATACTCAGACCATTTCCATTTCCAAGCACTTTGTGAGCCTTATTTGCCAGTCTCTAGGAAACAAAAACCCTTGTCCCCATTTCACGGGAGGAAGCCTTGAGGCCCAATGAGGTTGAAGTGTCTTGCCCACGCTCCTCCATGTGAATGGTTAATAAAAACTGGGCTTTCTTCTTTAGACCCTTATGTTCTTCAGCAGCCCCAATGGGGAGGAGTGGACTTTGGTCCAGCGGGTGCCCCCACCCCCACCCTGGCACCTTGCTGGGGTTTGGACATTAGACCACATGTGTTTACGGCCTCCATACTTAGCTGGAAGCAAAGCCGTCCTCCTTCAGGATGCTCCCTTTCCCTCGGTGATTCCTAACTTTTAGGGCTCTGGGACCCTTTTGATAACTGATAAAAATTAGACACCCTTGCCCCAGAGAAGTGTCCATACAAACAGAAATTTTGTACATGCACATCGGGAGCAATTTCAGGGGGTTTACGGACTCTCTGCAGTGCATCTGTGGCCGTTGGGGTGGGAACCCTTACTCTACCTTGTCATGAGCATGAGTCATAAGGACTCAGTTCTCACTTGCAAGAACTTTGGTGAATGAGTTTGGGTGATTCCTCTGGATAAAAAGGAATCGATCGCTCTCATTTGGATGGATCCTCAGGCAGTCTTCATTCAGGCCTACAGACTCTGAATAAGAAATCGTCATCTCCTACACCTTGGCTAAGGGTCAGAGCCCCTGACTTCCTTACATGACCTGAGGCAAATTATTCCTACCACCTAGTAGAAACAAATGGCATGGTAGAGAGACAAGGCTGTCACCCTCAGATTCAAGGTTAAGCAAGTCCCATCTCCTGCACCTGAGGGGGGTGGTTGTAAGCAGAATTGTCCTACGTGTGAACATGGAAATGACCTTGGAGCAAGTTTGGTCTGGGCTTCAGGCCTGGGCTAGTTTAGAGCAATCTAGACATCTTGGAGACAATTTAGAGGGGGGAGAAATGACGATCATTTGAATTCGAGAGGGGGTTATGGGATATGGAGTTATAGTCAACTCCTAATTATTCAGCAAACATCTGCTAATGTTGTCAATGGAGGCATGGTTCCCCTCCCCAAGAAGCTCTCAGTCCATTGGGGAGACACATAAGTCAACAGGGAGTACAGAGTGTGGATTATCCATCCTAACAAATGGAGTGTCGTACAAATAGACCACAACCACCGGATAATCCAGAAATTACTTGGTGGGCATTGCACGTTGGGGTGGCCACTTTACCGTCCCTCAAAATATTTGCTGCCAGTTTGAAGATATGTCTCCTTCCCTTGAGATCCCCCCTCACTGCTTATCATGAGCTGCTTGAAGTTCTTTTGTTGGGAGGTGATTCTTCTGCTGCACTGGAGACTAAGTACAATAAAGGGGCTCCTGTTCCAACAGAGAGATGTAGGTTAGACTTTAGGAGGAATTTTTTCCCCTGTCTGGGCTGCGAGACTTTGAGTTTGCCTGAAGAAGACAGGCCTCGTGTTCATGGGAGAGCCCCAGGAATCGGGTGAACACCTGAGTTGTTTATGGCCATCCCCCCTGAAACCAAGGGACACTCAGGAGATGGCCCCATGCCCCCCTCGCAGAGGGGTGCCCGTGAAGCTCGGGCCTGGCCTCTGCCTCACTCTTGCAGCCTTGTGGCCGTGGCCACCAGAGGTGGCGCATCTGGATTCTGTCAGTTGTTACCCCTTTTCCAATTCTGACTCTTCCTCCCAGTCAGGACAGTTCAACGAGGACATGATCCCCACCGTGGGTTTCAACATGCGCAAAATCACCAAAGGGAACGTGACCATCAAGGTGAGCGGCAGGAAGCCAAAACTCTGGGCACAGCTGGGGCCACAGAAGAGCCCGTGTGTGCCTGTTGGGGCCGGGCACCCGGAAGGGAGTTGGGGAGGGCATCTGCGACCCCTGGGGAGAGAAGCTGAAGGAAAGCCGAGGCTTGGATAGTGCGGAAAAGAGCACAAGACTTCTGAGGCAGTCAGAGGGGTGCAGAGACAGGAGGACCGGACAGCACGTGAATCCTGGGGCAGGGGGGGGGGGGGGCAGGGGGGTGGGGGTGGTGTGGCAGGGAGTAGGGGAGCGGGGAGGGGGACTTGGGAGCCAAGATGGGTTTGATTGCCTGCTTGCTGCTGAGACCGTGTCACCCTCTTCTTGCTCAGCTCTGGGACATTGGGGGACAGCCCCGATTCCGCAGCATGTGGGAGCGCTACTGCCGAGGAGTGAGTGCCATTGTGTAAGTGCAGGGCCAGGCTGGTGGCAGGACTCAGCCTCACCTGGCTCCCCGACCCCCCCCCGCCCCCCCGCCCGCCCTGGCCTCGCAACCTCACTACCTGTAGGAGCCACAGGTCCAGAACTGGATCCATCAAAGTGCTGGGTTCACAACACACTGTCCGTACACGGCTGGCCTTTACGTGTGCAGAGAAGAATATCTGTGAAACACTCTGGGCACCTCCCGGCCAATCTGAGAACCACAGCATCAACCGGCTCAAAGTACCTGTGTCTCCCTGCCTCCCCCCTATTTAGAGTCACCGCTCTCCTGACTTCTGTGTGATTTAAATGGCTCGTTCCCTTGCTTTTAAAAAATAATTTTATCTCACATGTGTATGCCCAAACAAAAGATTGTTTTGTTTTCATTGTTTTTTACCTCATTTAAAAAACATTTTTTTGGGGGGCACCCTGGTGGCTCAGTGGGTTGAGCGACCGACTTCGGCTCAGGTCGTGATCTCGCGGTCCGTGAGTTTGAGCCCCGCGTCGGGCTCTGTGCTGACAGCTCGGAGCCTGGAGCCTGCTTCGGATTCTGTGTCTCCCTTTCTCTCTGACCCTGCCCCGCTCATGCCCTGTCTCTCTCTCTCAAAAATAAACAAACATTAAAAATAATTAAAAAAAAATTTTTTTTAAATGTTTATTTATCTTTGAGACAGAGACAGACAGAGCATGAACAGGGGGAGGGTCAGAGAGAGAGGGAGACGCAGAATCCGAAGCAGGCTCCAGGCTCCGAGCTGTCAGCACAGAGCCCGACGCGGGGCTCGAACTCACGGACCGCGAGATCACGACCTGAGCCGAAGTCGGTTGCTCAACCCACTGAGCCACCCAGGTGGCCCTGACCTCATTTTTTAAAAGTATCTTGCTGCAAGAAAATCTTCTGGGGCATCCTTTGCTTTTTTTCTCACTCACCCATAGCTAGTCTTTCCCTGAAGACTTAAGAGGGTCACTTTGGGAGGGATTTACACATAATCTCAAAGAGCCAAGCTTCACCCCCTGCATGACAGCTTCTTCGGAGGGGACTTTGGACGACGGGATAACGGCAGGCCCTGGAGGAGGCCTAGATAGCTCACAGATCAAGAGGTGACCAAGCCCAAACAAGAGGTTTGCTCCCGCAAGCAGCAGGTCCTTCTCTTCCTACCTCTCAGCCTGTAGTGTCAACCTGCTTGTCCCCACCCTGCTGTCCCCCAGGTACATGGTGGACGCCGCTGACCAGGAGAAGATTGAGGCCTCCAAGAATGAGTTGCACAACCTACTGGACAAACCCCAGCTGCAGGGCATTCCGGTCAGCAGTGCATTGGAGTGGGGGGGGGGGGGGGAGGGAGCCCGCTGGGAAGTCACTGGGGGCCTGGCCTGAGGCAGGTGAAGGCCAGGCACGGTTGAAGTGGGGAGAGGAAACAGACGGCCTGGCCCGGCAGCCCTGGACCTAGTCTTTGTCCTCCTCTGTAGGTCTTAGTCCTGGGTAACAAGCGAGACCTTCCAGGAGCACTGGATGAGAAGGAGCTGATTGAGAAAATGTGAGTTTGGCTACTCTTCTCTGTCCTTCCTCCCTGCTCCCCCCGATTTCCCAGGCCACCGAGAGGGAGCCGGCTTCCTGCTGCTCTCAGTATTCGCCACATGGTGGCAGCAGAGCGTACCTTTCCCGGAGCCTCACCCTCCCCATTGTAGCTCCTGAGCAAGCAAAGGACTCTGGCGCCCCCAGCCCCAGGCCCCCTGGGCAGTCCTAGCCTCAGCAGGTTCTACTCTGGTTTCCCCCCAGGAATCTTTCTGCCATCCAGGACCGAGAGATCTGCTGCTACTCCATTTCCTGCAAAGAAAAGGACAACATTGGTGCGCGTGGGTATGGGGGAGTTGCTGGCATTCTGGGAAGAGCCCGGGACAAGGGGAGGAGCGGAGAGGCACTTCTAGGTGTTCTGGGGCAGTGACTCTCAAAGGTTTTCACTCCACAACCTTCCTTGAAGCCCAAAGCTCTATGGTTGTCCTGGGGTAGGACAGGCATCGGGGAAAAGCTCAGAATCTGAGCATCACCCGGCTCTGCCCTCTACTGGTTGTGTGATCTTAGGCAAATCGCTCCCTTCCTGGGGCCTTGCTTCCCCCACTGTAACAGTCACAGGGTTAGATCAGGCGATTCCCAGGCCCCTTCTGGCTGTGACGTCCCATGGCTCCATCCTTCACGCCACCCAGATGCCCCCCGCCACTCATGTGGGGCTGTTTGGAGCTCGATGGCTCTGGGCTTTTGCTGCCCTTAGAGTTGATCCCCAGTTGCAGTTTCGGAAGCCCTGGGCTTAGGCCACTCCCTAAGGTGTTTGTTCCACCTCCCCCCCCCCCCCCCCGTCGGCCCAGCACAAACTAGAAGGCGTATAAACCTCTCTGTCGTCCCCCACCCAGATATCACCCTACAGTGGCTTATTCAACACTCAAAGTCACGGAGAAGCTGAGACTGCGGTCCTTCCCCCTCGGACCAGGGACCTGCTGTCATCCAAACCCGAAGCCGAGCTCCCCGCCCACCCTGCCGTCCCCCCTAAGCCCGTCCCTCCTCACTCAGCGTGGGGAGGGACCCTCTGGGGATCCCAGAGTCCTGTTCTGCTGAGGTTTGAACTCCTGATTTTATTGTAAAATAAACCGCTCCCATTCTGGCCCCCTAACCTCTCGCCCTTCCCCTTCCCTCTGCCCTCTGCCGGCCCTGCTTCCGGCCCCTTAACAGCCCTGGCCCCATAGCCCCTGCCCTCCTGTCTCCCGTGCCCCACTCCTACACTGCCCTTTTCAACACTCTTCTGTTGTTGTCCTGTGTGTACAGTATATATATGTATATATATTTTAATTTTTTAATTTAAGCAAAGACTAAAATCAACCATTTGATGCTGCAGGGGCCCGTCAGGACCCGGGAGGGGGGCGGTCTGGAAAGAAGGAAGGAGATGCGGGGTGGGCTTGGGGCAGGTTCAGATTAGGAAAGTGAAGGCTGGCACCTGGGGGGCAGGTACCAGCCAGGGCACTGGCGGCCATCCCCATGTCGCGTTCATTTCCACTTCCCGATCTGGCTTGTCCCCGTAGTGCTTGAACGTCACAGGCTGACTGCCACCTCCGGAGGTGCCCCTGTCTGCCCCCCTAGCCTCAGTAGGGCCACCAGGCACAACCAGGTGCCAGAGAGCACCAGGCGGGAAGGGCAGGAGGCCAGCGCCCGGGGCGCCCCAGCAGCCCCTCCTGCCCGTTCCTGGCTCCCAGCTCCTGCCCCTTCCTGGGGCCCCCAACTCCATGGGCCACCTCATTTTCTGTTCTCATTTTGCAGAGTTGCACAAGGAGAGAACTCAGCATGGGGGGTTGGTTCTTTGGGTTTTGTTTTCTGTTGGTTTATGTGTTTAATTTAATGATTTGTAAAGTGATGTTCCTCTTCCTTTTTTACACTTTTCAGCTCATATTTAACCTCTGTTTGGAAAATGATTCTTGTAACTGTACATTTTTTTGCCTCCTAACAACACGAATAAATGACCAGTTTTGTGTCGGGGGGGTGTACGGGGCTGGTTATTTGTCCGTTAGATGACACGGAATGACTGGCTGGCCCGCACACTGGGCACAAACAGCCACGGAGAGGGAGGCATGCGCTCACACCGGGCACACAATGGCACTTCACACAGCAGCCTCCCGCACGTGTGCCGGGCCTCGCCGGGCCTCCTTCTCCCTCCCTCGTCAGACTCGCATGCGGTCGGCTCTGAGCTTCCAGCTGCCAAGTGGAGCTAAGAAGGAAGTCTGTTTAAGGACCTGCCTGGGGCTGGGATCAGCGTGGCGGGAGTGTGGGGCTGCATCCCGATGTGTGCGGGGCTGCGCCTCCCTCGAGTCCATTCAGAGCCCTACCTGCAGCCACAGCGAATTGTCCTCCAGGGGGCGGTGCCGGGCCTGCAGAGCCTGACGGCTTCCCCCCTTCCCCGCTTCTCTGTTGGTGTCGGTGCCACCGGTTTCTTGGGAGAAAGGCCGTACCCTTGTTCCTCTGCCCAATCCCAGTCCTTTCCCTACTTGACCCCAGCCTTCAGAGCTGGTCCCCCCTCCTCCTTGCCCACAGCTGCGGCTTCTGAGCCTTGCAGGCCCAGCTTACCCAAATCCGGGGCCATCTTGACCCACTTTCGCAGGAAAGCCCCGCCTCTCCCCTGCTCCGCCCCCTTCAGCCTCCCGTCCCCCTGGAGAATAGAGCAGGCCCCTACAGCAGCTCTGTTTTCTGGTCCTCTAGTCCTGCCTCTGCAGGAAGTCACTTCTAGTCACTTCTGCAGGAAGAAGGAGGCATGGTTCCCTTAGATGTGGGAGCAGGGATCCCAGGGCTTTGGCCTCAAGGGTCCTGGGCCTGCCCTGTTGGCTCTGAACTTCACCTATTGGCACCTATTGGCTCTGAACTTCTTGGTGCCCAGGGCTTCCTCCTGAAGGTAGTTTATAGTCAGAAATGACTCTGGTGGGGTTGCCTGTGCGGCTCAGTCGGTTAAGCGTCAGACTTCGGCTCAGGTCATGATCTCGCAGTTTGTGAGTTCGAGCCCCGTGTCGGGCTCTGTGCTGACAGCTTGGGGCCTGGAGCCTGCTTCGGATTCTGTGTCTCCCTCTTTCTCTGCCCCTCTCCTGCTAGTGCTCTGTCTCTCAAAAATAAATAAATGTCCCAAAAAAAATTTTTTTTTAAAAAAAGAAAGAAATGACTTGCCTGGAGAGGCAGTTCCCCTTTACCAGAGGAGTTGGAGGAAAGAATGTGGATGGAATTTGGCAAATGGGGTGAAGTGGTTTTAAGGTGTCTTCTAGCTCCTAAGGAATAGGAAACGTGCCCCCTGGTTAAGGAGGTTGAAGGTGGGACCAGGCTGCCCCCGTGTTCTCCTGGCTGCAGAGGTGGCAGGAGTTGCCCTTGGCCTAGGAGGCTGGAGAGGCCTGACGGTCACTCGTGTGGGGAGCAGGACGGGGCAGGTGTCAGGGCAGACCTGCCTTTCCCGGTCCTGAATCCCCCGATGAGGGGTGACATTGGAGGTTAGACAGGATGAGCTACTTACCAGCAAGCAGGCATCATCCTACCACAGCGCCTGCACGCAGCAGGTGCCTAATAGGACCTAGAGAATTTGTGGAAGTTGGACCGGGAACAGACTGTGCGTATATATGTAAATCATCGTTTGGGGCCCTTTCAAGTCCCAAAGCCTGGATGAGTTTTGAGAGTACCCTGGCAAGCCTACTCTGTAGTACTAGAGAATTCATTTCCCAAAAGGAAGGAAGAAAAGGTGCCAGGCGTCATGCCAGATGCTTTAGATATCTTGTCTCGTTTAATGACTGTAGTCCTCTGTGAGAGAGGGGTCGTTCCCATTTTACAGATGAGGAAACTGAGAGGCTCAATGACCACGTCCGGTCCCATTGGAGGGAGGTGATTCTCAATGCAAAGTGCTGGTGCTCTCTGCCCCCTACTCCCAGCTGAAGGGGGAGGCTCCGTGGATTGCCCTCTCCCCACCCCCCACCTCAGGGTCTGAGGGCTGGTCTATAGTCTGCCCCGAGGGGGAGGGAGAATGTCTGTGCTGCCTCTGAGCATCCCAGCTCAAATCCACCACCCGCCAGTGTGCCAACCCGCCCCCCCACCAGCAGCCTGGGACCCCTGAGCAACAAACACCACATTGTTCCCCCAGCTGGCCCAAGCCGGAGGGACAGTGGCTCTTTCCCAAGGCCCTGCTGGCCTGCTGACTAATCTTGCAAGCCATTCACGTTGGCAGGCATGGAAGGCGGGGCTGGTGGCAGGGCCTCGAGACACCGTCTTCCCTCTCTCATCAGCCCTGAGCTGGCCAAGCAGCAGGAGGGAGAAGCAGGGGTGGGGGGGGTGCCCTCTGGAAAAGTCCCCCCAAACAGGATGTCAAGGTGCCCCCTCCCCTGCCCTCAGCCTTCCATCCTCGGCCCTCTCCCCGTGCCAGACTTCACCTCAGTTCACCCCGGGCCCCCTCCCTACATCCCATAGGAAGCTACTGGTGCGTCTAGAACGAGGGTGGGGACGGGGGTAGAGAGGGAGTTGGGCGGGGGTGGAGAAAATGGCCCCCGTATCCTCAGTGCCGCGAGCCTGCCTTTGGCTCCCTCTCCAACCTGCCCCCTCCCCCCCCCCCCCCCCCACTCATCTTAAGTTTCTACGGACACAGCCGAGGGCTTCGGTCACTGTGGCAACAGGTCTGCTGAGAAATGGGTGGGTGTCACTCCCCAGCACAAAGAGTGTGTGCATGGCAGTTCCATCACTTAGCAACGGCCTCCCTCTCTCTTGGCGTCACCCGTCCTGGGGGTGGGTGCCAGGAAGAGAGAACAAGGCCATTAAGATCCCCAAGAGAGGGGGGGAAGGAGGCTTGGGTCGGGGCCGGGCTGAGGCCAAGGGGTGTGGGTGGGGTGGTCAGAGGAGAAAGGAGCCCAGTGCGCTCAGCAACCTCTGTCCCTCATCATCCCTTCCGAGGCCCCGTGCAGATGTTCTAGGTGGATCTGGCGGGCAGAAGTCGCCACTGGGACCCAGAGCTGCGCTTGAGACAAAGCTGGGCTTAGGAGGCAGGGAGTGATTTGTGGCCTAGGCCGAGGTGTCCCTTCTGGTTGAACCTGTGCCAGATCCTCGAGGCCCAAACAGGGTTAAGGGGGGCTGTGGAAGGACCCTAGAGGGGTACCTGGTGGAAGTGGGACACCCGGGGCAAGACCAGCGGGAGGAGCTGAGGGGTTTCTGGGGGCACAGGACAGAGCTCTGGCCGCCAGGGAGGGGTGTGGTGGGGGCAGGGTGGGGGCAGACAGGGAGCAGACAGCTGGGCCGTCTACGGGCAAAACAGTCTGTTCTAAGAAACTGAAAAAGAGCAGCTCTCAGAGTCAGAGAGGCTGGAAGGCCCCGGGCTCACCGAGGAAGGCTGCTGGTTTCTCTAAAATGGCGGCTTTGTGGAGGAGGAGGAACAGAGTGGGGGCTCCAGAAGAGATAAGTTTGCCGCCTTTTGACTTCCCAAGGATGCTCGGGCTCAGGCTAGGACAAAGACTTAGCACTCCACCTCCCAAGCCCTTCATCCACTCTGCCCCTCAAAAGCCGTAGGGCCATAAGGCTGGGCAGGACATCAGCCACAGGCCATAAAGAGCCAAATGCGGCCAGGAGGAATCCCCCCAGGGCGCCACCTGTCCTGGAGAAGGGCCAGGTGCATCTGGGCACTGTCAGGATGTGGCACGAGAAACTCCAGTGGGCACAGGGATAGTTCTACCTAGTTTATTGTTTTTGAAGAAGGGCCTTCTACAAGGGAGTACCTACCACGGGGTGGATGGCGGCGGGGCGGCGGCGGCGGGGGGGGGGTTGGCACAGGGCAACCCAGGATATGTCAGAGAAGGAAGAAGAAAGAGAGAGAAATCCTCCGGAAGAAGAGAAGGTGCCAGGAGGAGGAGATGTCTAAGGCTAGGGCAGACCTGGTCCAGAGAAGAGCCAGGCAGGACTGGCCCCCAAAGGGCCCCCTATTCTAGGATGGATGAGAGTCAGCAGGCAACGCTTAGAGAGCAGCCAACTAAAGTACAGCAGATTCCAAGACAGAGGCAGGTGAAGTTCTGGCTCCCAGCTGGGGGACTGAGAGTTTCTAGGCAGTTCTAAGGACCTGGAAGCATTACCACCCACCGAGGACAGGGCTGGGAGACGCCAAGAGACAGCCGGGGAAGGCCCTGCTGGAGGAAGGGGCTTTGACACACCCAAACCCCCACAAGAGGGACCAAGTCCACCTCTAGACAGCAAGACGGGCAGAGAAGCAAGACCTATGGGGCCAGAAACACCAGACACAGGCTGGGGGGCACCCGCCCTGCCCCACCTGGCCCCTCCTCCCGCGCCCCCACCCCCCCCCCCACCCAGGCTGCAGCCTGGCCTCAGCAAGGCGTGCCCAGGGGCAGGAGCGGGGGCGACTCCCTGGGCTTGTGGAAGTAGATGGAGGAGGGCAGCTCGGTCTTGAGCTTGTTGTCCGAGCCGCCGGCGGCTGAGGCCTCCGAGGCGCCACCACACTCGGCACAGCAGCAGCAGCAGCAGCCCAGGAAGGCCTGGCCCAGCGGCCTGCAGATACACAGGAGGAGCACAGGGGTGATGGCTCCCTTGAAGAAGATGGAGAACTGGTTGATGAGGCCCAGGAGGTCCAGGGTCTGGCGAGTCAGCTCAGTGGACAGGTAGGCCACCACGATGTTGCAGACGTTCTCGGGGAGGGTGCAGAGGGCGTAGACCACGGTCAGGCCCACCACGGTGCTGTTGAGCTGGCTCTCGCACTGCTCGTGTTTGCCTGCCCGGCACTCCGGCTTCCTCCTGGGAGGGCTCCGCACCCGCCACGTCACCAGCTGGCAGGTGACCGTGAAGAGGATGGGCAGGCAGAAGTAGCAGCCAAAGTACCACCACATGCGGGCGTTCTGGTAGGTCATCACCAGCGAGTAGAGGGACTCGGGCAGGCTGGCCGAGGGTTTCATGATGCATGAGTCCACAGTGCCCGTGGCGGGGGCAGGCTCCTGCGACAGCTGCCACAGCAGGAGCTCGGGCACAG